GTTGCGCATGTGGCAAGATAAGGTGGGAACATTATTATGCACGTGTGGCGAGACAAGTCGGGCATTCACTTTACTATTGCACACATAGCGAGACAAGGTGGGCTGTGTCAGGGATTGATTGTGATGACTTGTGTAGTGGTACACTTACCTTATGCGCTTTATCTTGTGAAAAGTTGTTGGAAAATATTCTACGTGTTGTCCATTTCTTTTTCTATACTTACTAGCTGGCATGATCTATGTTAGAACACTTGCACAAGCATACATATAGTTAAGCACTCTTATCGGTTAAAGAGGATTCTTGATATTGTTGAGTATAGATGCACACTCTTGTTTACTTGCTGGCTCTATTTGGCATGTGAGTTGCCAGCGCGGTCATAAAGTGTAATGAGGGCACAAGATGCCAAGTGTTAGGGTTCAGGTGTTGGGACCCGTGAGTTGAAAATAGCCGGGGGTTTGGTAACTCGTGGAGTTTATTTGGCTAAAACCTGGTATGGAAGCGGTCGTTTCTGTTGAGTTATTACTTGTCCTTCCTCTATCTGTGATTATAGAATTTAGGCTGTGTTTTCGTTCATTCTTCTGTGTCATTATTACGGTATTCTACTGATAGTTGTTGTTTTCCTTCTTACTACAATTACCGTATTATTTGCTATTTCGCGTAGTCTTTATGTAGATATCATATTTTGTTGTTTTCTATACTTATACCTGTTTAGGTTGTTTCGTCCAGTAGGTGTCCCGGCTGTTTCTCGTCACTACTCCATTGAGGTTAGTCTTGATACTTGTTGGGCACTGTTGTGGTGTACTCATACTACACTTTTGTATATTTTTGTACAGATTCAGGTATTGCGGAGTCAGTCGATCATTAGCTAGTTGTTCAAATCTTTCAGTGAAGACTCAAGGTAAACCTGATGCTGCGTTTGTAGGCTTCGGAGTCACCTTCTAGTTTTTTTTTGTACTTACATTGTTTACTCCTATTTTGGAACAATTGTTTTTACAGGTTTTCTAGCAAACCCTGTAGAGCTTATGACTTGTACTACCGATTTTGGGTTTGTAATACTTGTTTAGAGAATTCTAAATTTGGAATTGCTAATCTTTATTTATTTTGTTATTATTTTCAGAAGTTGTTAGGCTTACGTAGTCCCTAAGACTAGGTGCCATCACGACACCCAACGGAGGAAAATTTAGGTCGTGACAATTTGGGTCAACCCGATAATCCGAACTGATCTGTGTTATTTGGATTGGTTTGGACTGGAATTTAGCTATTTGGATCGGATTTTCGGATCTTTATTTTAATTATTTTAGATATCGGATCGCATACAGTTTGGCTCAATTTGCATTCAAACCGAACCGCGACCCGAAATTTATATTTTACATATAAATGTGATGGATGCTCTTTTAAAAATTCAAAGGCTTCTTTGTTATTTCTCTCACTGTTTTGCCTTTTCTTTCCTTTTAATATTAAAGCTAAAAGATATGGAAATGAATGAGTTTTGTTACTGAAAATGGTCGAAGATAGCATATTAAAATGATTTACTTTAGCATCTTAATAGGGCGTACAATCCGAACTGAAATCCAAAATATTTATCCGATCCAAGCATCAAAATCCATTCTAATCCGAGTTTAATTTGGTTTAAATTCGAATTGCAATTTACAAAATCCGAAATTCGAAATTATAATCCGAAAAGTACTAAATTTGATCCATGATCATGCCCATTCTCGGAATAAGGATAAAAATGTTTTAATCTCAACAATCCTCTTCTGAGAAACCAATAAGGAAAAGCTCCTTTAGAGACGTAGGAAATCATGATCTTATCGAAGTTTATATTATATTATATTATATTATATATTTTTTTGGTAATTAAATCTTTCATTTACCGAGAAAATATTTACAAGTAAATCAAATCCTTACATAATTGCCTATCAAACTAATTTCACCCCATATCCCCTATGTAGTATCTACATCTATTACACTGGATACCAATTTAAACTATGCAAAAAAAAATCCATTTTCCTGTTGCTACGATAGTGTATCTCTTGGACTATCAGCTTGCAAACTGTCTCCCATCTTCTCGTCTTGTTTTGAAAAATTCTACCATTTCTTTCGTGTCACACATAGTAAATTGTTGCTGCTAGTACCATCTTGTATAATTCAGCTGTTGCATTTCTTCTTTTGGCCCATTTCTCTGCCAATTTTAGCTCCTCTTCCCATCCTTGGCCTGTCAATGCCTGGCCACTCTAACAGTTTACTCCACAGTGCTTTTGAATATGAACACTCGAAGAACAAGTATTGTATGGTTTCCTTTTCATTGTTACACAGGATACAATCTTGATCAACTGTCATTCCCCATCTTTGCAATCTATCCTTTGTATATAATCTTTCATGTGCTGTCATAGTTAATACAAATTTCCATCTGGGACATCCTCCATTGTGACAAACTACTTTCCTCCAACTTACTTTCTCAAATGTACCTCGCAGCTTGTGATAAATTTGATTGATAGAACAGCTATTCATATTTGTAATATTATCCTGGCTGAATTCTGCTTCCATCATAGTCCTCTGTGCCTTCATGATCTTGCCTACCATTCATGAAGCTTGCTTTAATTGTACTATCCAGATGTTTCTTCCTCTAATGTAATAATCATGTACCCATTGTACCCATAGCTTCTTCTTCTCTTTACATAAGTTCCAAAATTTCTTACATATGGTAGCTTTGTTCCAGATTGCTATATTCATGATATTGAATCCACCGGCTAACTTAGGGATGCATACTTTCTCTCATGCTAATGGAGCTTTTTTTGATACTTTACCTTCTCCAGTCCATAAGAAACTCCTGTATATTGCCTCAATAAGTTTTGTGATTTTCTTTGGTAGAACAAATATTTGGGCCCAGTAGGTTTGGATGGAGAACATAACACTTTTTATGAGCTGAATCCTTCCTGCATAGGACAAGAATTTTGCAGTCCATGAGGTAATTCTTCCCATTATCTTGTCAATGAGTGGTTGGCACTGTGCTATAGATATTCTTTTGGAGCTCAGTGGTGCACCAAGGTATCTAACTGGTAGAACTCCTCTCTAAATTCCTAGAAATGCTAGGATCTCCTCCTGCTATTCATTTGTGACTCCTCCAAAGAAAATTGAACTTTTGTTTTTATTTATCTGCAATCTAGATGCTCTTGAGAATTCCATAAAGCATTGGAACAATATTTTAACTGATCTAATATCTTCCCTGCAAAACAATAATAGATAGTCAGCAAAACCAAGTTGCAAGGTTTGCATATTAGCACACTTGGGGTGGAAGTTGAAGTTTGGGATTTCAGCCAGTTTCTTTAATTTCCTTGTCAAGTACTCCATTGCAAACACAAATAGAAATAGTTAAAGAGGGTCCCCTTGCCTCAATCCTTTCCTAGCATCAAATGGCTTAGTTAGTGCACCATTTATCATGATTATGTATGTGATAGTTTCCATACATGTCATGATCCATCTTATAAACTGCTCTGGGAATGCTAATGCTTGTAATACCTGCTCCATATAGCCCCATTCTATTGAATCATAGGCTTTTGGCATATCCAGTTTCATCATACATCTAATTGACACCCCTTTTCTCTCATATCCTTTAACAAGTTCATGACTCAGAATAATATTATTTGTGATTACTCTTCCAGGAACAAAAGCTGCTTGTGTACTATCAATCAGACTATCCATCACACTCTATAGCCTCTTGGTAAGAACCTTTGATATCACTTTATACAGGACTGTACAGCATGAGATAGGCCTATACTCTTTAATGTTTGCAGGATTTTTGACTTTAGGAATCAAAGTAATTGTTGTGCAATTGATAGGCCTAAACATTTGAGTTGATTCAAAAAACTCCAACACAGCCTTTGTCACATCCTGACCAATGATTGGCCAGGATTTCTTGAAGAAAACAGCATTTAGACCATCATATCCAGAAGCTATTAGGTCACTAATATCCTTCATTGCTTCCCATATTTCTTCCTTGGACACTTGCTTGATAAGCTGCAGTTGTTGTTCCCAATTCAAGACTGCCCCCATTCTCATATCATTTGGATTAATAGTTGGAAGACTATCTGCTCTTGAGCCCAATAGTTTCTTGTAGTAACCCATGATTTATGCCTCTATATCTTCCTCCAATACTAGCTGATCCCCCATGGCATTTGTTAGTATCTGTATTCCATTTAAATTACTTCTATTCTTCATTTGAGTAAAGAAATAAGCTGAGTTTGAATCCCCCAGCTTCAACCATTGCACTCTTGATGTTTGTCTATATATGCTTTCCTCAATTAGTACCCATTTTTCCAGCTCATCCTTAAGTGTTCTTTCCTTCTCAATTAGGTCTAATCTTTGTAGGTTGGAACTCATTTCTTCCTGAACTGCCTGAAGCTATTCCTTGATCCCTTTTATTCTCTCATCTACTCCTTTGTAATGTTTTGTATTGATCTCTTTCATAGCCTCCTTTATCTTCTTTAGCTTATTCCATACTACTTGCATCATCCCACCAGTACTCCCTCCTTCCCAGGCTTGTTCCACTTTCTGTATGAATTGGTGATGATTAGCTATACAATTGAAGAATCTGAATGGTGTATTCTTCTTCCCCTGCACTTGTGTTATCATTAGCCTTAATGGTGAATGATCATACATTAATGGCTCTAAGACCTGTACTTTCATATTAGGCATTATCATCATCCAATCTGCATTACTATACCCTTGTCTATTCTACTATAAGTGTGATTGTTAGTCTATGTATAACTCCTTCCTACATATTGTAATTCATGCATCCCTGTATCAATCATGAATTCCTTAAAGTCTCTTGTTTCTATATCTTGTACCTCAGTACCATGTTGTCTATCCTGTGCCTGTAGAATAGCATTATAATCCCCCATGCTAGCCATGACCCCTATTGTATACTATGTATCTGTCTCAACTTCCTCCACAAGCTTAGTCTATCTTTGATAGTATGCAATTCATATATTGCTGGAAAGCCAAATGTGATTGCCTTTGATATGATTCTAATCTGCCCATGTACCAACTGTTCATCAACATCTTCTAGATCAAATTTATAAATTCTAGGATCCCATATTACCCATATTCTACTTTTATTACTTTGACTAGCATTCGATATCCACTGTCATCCGGGTGCTATTTTTTGATTATATCATTGGTTCTGTGCTCCTTCACTCTATGTTCAACCAAAGCAATTAGAGCTTTATTATTACTTTTTATAAACTCCCTCACCTCCTTTTGCTTATATATTTTATTCAACCCCCTAATATTCCAGGTTATCACAATCATATTGGAATAAAAAGAGGTTTATAATACAACTCTTGTTCCCCTTAACTACTCATTTGTCTTTTGTTTGTACCTGGTTCATCATAATTGGTGTTGTTTTCCAAGATTTGGGCCTTTTTCTTTTCTACATCTTCCTGCTCTTCATTTTGTTTGGCCTTAGCTGCCCTTGCTATTGATTTTCCAAGAACTATTATCCACCCTTCATCCCTCCTTTTCACTTCTTTCTCTGTTGGTTCTGACTCTCCCATATGGACAGTGTGTATCATTTTCTTTTGTTCTGCTTCCTTCTTTTACTTAGCTTCATTTCTGTCAGTTCTCAACCAAACATGTTTACCTGTGGCTAATTTCCTTTGTTGGAACATTTCTGTGGTTGTTCCCTTTGATCACAACATAATCATGCCCTATTTTCAAACATTTAGAGCAGTATGTTGGTTCCCAATCATAGACAACCTCCTGTTGAATTAGCCTTCCTTTAGGATCTTGCACTTTCACGCTTCTAGGCAGTGACCTAGTTATGTCCATTTCAATTAACATTCGTGCATATGAGATCCTCATTGTTTCGGTAGTACATTCATCAGCATATACTGGGTTCCCTAAAGTGCTTCCTATCTTGCTTAAAGCTTTCATGCTCCAGCAATTAAGTGGCAAATTGGGAAACCTCACCCATAATGGGATAGTCTTCAATACCTAATCATGTACATTGAAATCTTCAGTCCATGCTTTCATAATTATAGGCTTATTATTCACTGTTTGAGGGCCAGAGAATAGCACTTGGTCTCTTTCCTCCAAATTACTAAACCTAATCACAAAATAGTCCTCATTATGATAGTAGATCTGTGGCTTCCTTGAGAATTTACCTACTGAGCTTAGAAATCTCTCCATAGCTTCAATGGTAGGTGAATCTCCTACCACATACAGAATAATCGCAGATCTCCTTTTTTCATTTTCCTGCTCAACATCTTCAACCTCTAATTTTGCCATTTTCTCACCATTTTGAACGATTGGAGCCATAAACTGAAAATTCATACCCTTCCCAGCTAGTTTATTCCTCGTTACCACATTTGCCCATGACTGATCCAGTTTGACAGTTTTTGGTTCCTCAATTTTGTCGCTCTCAACAGTACCATACTTGCGTGGTACTGTTCCATTGCTGGTGTTATTCCTAACTTGCTCTTGAGTTTTTCCATTCCCAGATTCACTTCCAGAAGCTTGAGTAACTGTAGGTGTAGCTACAATTGTCTTCAATTTGTCCTTACTTCGCGATGGATCTGCTTCTTCTTTGCTTATCTCACTCCACATGTTCCTCGGAGTGAGATTTCCAGCTTGGTCTTCAATTCGAACTACTTTAGGTGACACAAATAGCTCTAGTACTGCTTTCCTTGTCTCTGATGATCGTTGTTCATCAGCCGCATTCCTCTGCTGATTTTTCTTAGGTCTGCCTCTCCCTCCCATGGCTTCCAAGCGCACGTTAGCTGGTCCACATTAACATGCTTCGAGAGAGAGAAAAAGAGAACGTAGTTATATATTATATTATATTATATTATATTATATTGTATTGTATTGTATTGTATTGTATGAAGTTCAAAGTGTTGGATTGAAAAGGCCAAAATAGACATCAAAATTTAAATAATTGTTATAAAATAAAGACTGTAAAGTAAAGACAAGTATAGAGAGAAACTGTTATATTATTCGAATTCAAACTGATGTACATAATGAACTGAAATCTCTTCTATTTATAGAAGAAAGGAAGTTGCTGTGTAAGTTGCTACTATACCAGATATGGATAATCTTCTACTGAGAGCAATGTTTATCCATAACGGAGTACTGAAAGGATAATATTATTATACCCGATATGGATAATCTTCTACCGGGGGTAATGTTTATCCATAACTGGGTACTGAAAGGATAAGCTTATTATACCCGGTATGGATAATCTTCTACCGGGGGTAATATTTATCCATAATCGGGTACCGAAGTGATAAGCTTCTTCAAAAAGCTTATTTCCAATAGAGTACTAAATAGATAAACATATTTACGGTGGAGTCCCATATGGATAAGCTTCTTCAGGAAGCTTATTTACAACGGAGTACTAAATGAACATCCATAATATAATATATTTATAACA